TCACGCGCTTTGGAAACGCTAATCAAATTCACTCAGAGATACATGTAGATGCAAATCACACATTTATCCTTATAGAATTGAAATTTAAACAACGTTCTAGATGTACTCACTTGAAAATAGGGAGAAATGTCAGTAAAGTCGCAATATCATCAGTGACGAACGCTACAAGTCACATATCTACGAAAGAATCACGATATCTCAACGAATTGCAACACGCTGTCATCAAAATCGTGGAAAATAGATATAAGTCGTCCATTAAGTCTAGTTTATAACTGTATGGCCAGCCCTTGTAGAGAAGTGTACAGGTGGCCTCTGAAATGTGTATCACTCAGAGGGAACCATGGGTCTGGACAATTCGTGCACACCCTGCTGATCAGATAAGGCGAACTGCGTGCCACCGGCGTGGTCACTGTGTCGCTGTCTACGGCAAAACCTTCTAAGACGTTCCTGAAATCATTCTTGTTTGTCGCCTGAACGAGGAGCAAACGAAAAACAAGAGAACTGTCATTCATCTCCTGAACAGGGTGTTAGGCACGACAGTTAAAGATGTTTTCTAAAACTGCTTGTAACCAACTAGCAGTGGTCCGCAAGGCACGTAGTTACAACTGTAACTGGCAACATCAAAATGACAGTTAGCATATACTGTGCCAAGATGTAGTGAGAGAGCGAGGAACGTCAATGCGGACGGCAACGACATGAATACACTTATAATTTGCTCGACAACGGCACAGTCATCCGCAAGACCCCACTCTTATAAGCACTGCACCGTATCGTACCTTCTTACTGAACGCCTGTAAACGCAGCATGCACCTGTTCTCATCAGCCAACATCGTCACTCGACACTCGCGCAAGGTATGGAGCATGTACTAGATCTAATTATGAAAAGGCTGTAACTGAGTGAGACCGTGGTATCATACTGACGCACATTACGAACAGCAAGCCTCGAATCCTGAAAACTACAATATGCAGAATAGCGCTGAAATACGGTCGCATCCTTGGCAGCCAGAAACTAAAGATTACGGGAAACCCGCAAGGCACAGCAGATTCATAAGTGAGACAGTAGACAAAGACGACTCCCATAAGAACCTTATTTCTGTCGCTCAAACGATATCAGCAAACTTCAAGTCAAATGGATAGATCGGCCTCACTTTCGGTGTTTC